CAGCATTGTTGCACATAAATCTTCTTGGGCGACAGCGCACCCCGCGCTGTCCAGGCGCATCACCAGCGCCTCGAGATTACCGACGTGCACCTTCATCGAGCCACCACCATGAGTAAACGTGGCGTGAGCCATATGCGATTCGTCACATCTTGGCCTTCGTGAATGCGCCGTAGATGATGCTACACTCCAGCTGCGCTGCCGGTGCTGATTACGTGCTGAATCTGGTTGTCGGCCTGATTGACCACAATCGCCGCATGCGCTTGATGCTGCTTAGCGTCGTCGACGGCATGCACGCTGCCATCAGCGAATCTCCACAGTCCTCGTGACAAGATGTACATCTGCATTTTGTATACCCATAGACGGTAGTTAGTGCCGTCAATACGGGCAGGCTTAGCGAAGTCTTCACTGATTGGGCTCATAACCTAAATGATATAGGAAGGGTAGATGTAGAAGTGTTGTGCGCTTGTGGTGCAAATGCAGAAGTGAGTGTATTAATGTTAGGCGCGCTAGCACGCAATTGTGTGAGCCCACGCGCGACTGCCTTGCGGGCCACACAATATAATAAACCTAAGTTGAAAGCTACCAACCCATCCTAAGGTATGTAGAACACTGTAACTTAGTCTTTGCTTTGCGCGAGCCTAAATAAGTACACACTTTAACACGCAGACATATGCAGTCTTAACCGTAAAGTGTGAGCACGCACTAACCATCCTTAGTGGGAATTGAACTCACAACTTTCAATCTAGCATCACGATCCCGCACTACTTGAGCCAATCATCATAACTTAAAAGTTAGTGCAAGCATTAACATCAGCAGAATAACCAACACGTTGAACACGCTCAAGGGCTCAATGTGAGGATCAGAACGGCTATTACTAAGAATCTAGCGAACCTTTTTATCATCTGTTATTGAAAGCATAACGATAGTTACGCCAAATGGATCGTGTAGGAGGTCACAAAAATGAGATTGATTTTGGGATTAGATAATGCGCTAAACGTCAATGACCTGTATCAACGGAACTGTGCGACGTCATTAATTTTTTCGTGCGATTCAATATTTGGTGAGAAAGACGAAATTTTTCCATTTGGCGCTGACATTTTAGTCAAATTCTACTGAAGAAATGTTTATGCTCACGATTAGCTAAATACAGCTACCATTCCGGCACAACGCCGATTCCCTGAAAGAATATTCCGTAGAAGAGCAAAGCCATCCATACAAAAAAGGTAATATTTTTTACCCTAAGCTGCAGGAGATAACACCCTCACTTATTCTTTCGAGCAGGATGCTCCGAAGCGGCTACCTCATGTGCTGTTTAATGCACCAGCGACAATCGACGGTCCATTGAAAAAACGCTTTGAGCCGAAATGTTATTTGAACAGACCAGTTCCGACGATATGTATATACTCGCTCATAAACGTCAAATCGGACATGGTAACCTATATTGAACACTTTCGGGCAATGCTAAAGCGTATGTGCCAAAATAAGGTAACCACCAACGTAAAAAAGTTTGTATTAGACACTGACAAAATCCGATTCTGGGCTGCAACCTTAGGGAGCTTTGTTCAAAGGAAAACACGCAAACATCAAGACCATAATAATTTCTCTAGTTTCGCATTTCGGAAATATTGAAAATCTTGGCTTTGTAAATTACTTGCACAAGTGCGATGCAAATTAATCCAATATGAAATGGATTTACTCATCGCCCGTAAATAATGTCAATTGATTTGGAGAAGCGGCTTCCACTTGACCTAATTCTGCCGAGAGAGGTCATTCAATCGGGTTTGGATGGAGGCTCAACATTTGTACCAATGATGCAAGCAAACGATCACGCAGAGAGTAGTAAGCATTCCTGTAGATATAGTGCTAGCGGAAACCACGACGCTGCTAGGCACG